TCTAAAATCCTTTTGTAAAAAACATGGTATAATCCATGAAGTGACCGCACCATATTCGCCACAACAAAATGGCATAGCTGAGTGGAAAAACAGAACTCTCAAAGAGATGATTAGTGCCTTCCTAATCAGCTCGGGCGCTTCAACCTCATTGTGGGGAGAAGCAGCTCTTACAGTTAACCACATTCTCAACAAGATACTCTATAAAGGGTATGAGAAGACTCCATATGAGCTATGGAAGGGTTATACACCGAACCTGAAATACTTCAAAGTGTGGGGATGCCTAGCAAAGATAAGTCTCCCAACCTTTAAAAGGCCTAACATCAGGTCTAAAACCCAAGATGATGTTTGTGTGGGATATGCAGAAAACAGCGTTGTATACAGGTTTATGTACCTAGACAGTCACTCTATGTGCGAGGCACGAGAGGCTGAGTTCTTCAAACACGTCTCCCCACTAAAATTGGCCCCACCTATCTCACAAGAAGGTGTGTCTTTGCTACCTTCCTCATTTCAAATTGAGAACAAGGCAGAAGAGCCTAGGAGGAACAAGAGACAAAGAACTAAAACCAGCTTTGGGCCTGATTTCATTACGTACATATCTGAGTTGAGTGACGTTAATGAACTATCTGATTAGTGTGTTTGTTAGTTAATCTTAGAAGAAGAGCCAAAGTCCTTTGAGGCTGCTGTGTGCTCTGTAGACGCTGTTTTTTGGAAAGAAGCCATCCAAAGTGAGCTAGACTCTATTAAGTCTAATCACTCAAGGGAAGTGGTAGATCTACCTAAAGGAGCCAAACCAATTGGCTGCAAGTGGAACTTTAAAAGAAAACTAAGACCAGACGGGTCAATAGAAAGGTTCAAGGCCAGGCTAGTAGCAAATGGGTATTAACAGAAGTTTGGTGAAGACTACTTCTGCACGTATTCCCTCGTGACTAAAATAGCCACAATTCGTGTGTTGTTTGCCTTGACCTCCTCTCACAACTGGCTAATACATCAAATGGATGTGAAAACAACCTTCTTAAATGGGGATTTGGATGAAGAGATCTACATAGAGCAACCACATGGGTGCATTGAACCAGGACAAGAGGGAAATGTATGTAGACTCATAAAATCCCTGTACGGGCTAAAACAAGCCCTCAAACAGTGGTATGAGAAGTTTCATAAGACACTTGTGGATCTGGGCTACACGCTAAACAGATCATATGCTTGTCTATACTCAAAAGATGTAGACTAAAGTGTTGTGCTTATATTAATCTATGTGGATGACATGCTAATATTTAGCCACAATATAGATACTATAAGAGAGACTAAACAGTCACTATGTCATAAGTTTGACATGAAAGATCTGGGGGAGGCCGATGTGATACTTGGAGTAAAAGTCATAAAATCTGAGAATGGCTACACGTTATCACAAGGCCACTATACAGAGAAGCTATTAAGGAAATTTAATAGCTTCGAAGTGACTCCTTCACAAACTCCATATGATCTGAGCGTAAAATTTCAAAAAACACTAAGACGGGTGTGTCACAAGAAGAATATGCTAAACTAATTGGAAGTCTGATGTTCTTGATGAACTACACCAGACCTAATATCACTCTTGCAGTAAGTAGACTTAGTCGATACACTCATAACCCGAGTGACACTCACTGGCATACACTAAGGAGAGTGCTATGCTATTTAAAGGGTACGATCGACTGGGGACTACACTATATTGGATTCCCAGCAGCCCTAGAGGGGTACTGTGATGCGAACTAGGTAAATGACAGTAGTGATGTAAGCTCCACCAGTGGATATGTATTCACTATGGGTGGAGCGGCAGTATCGTGGAAATCCACGAAACAATCGTGTATAGCGAGATCAACTATGGAAACTGAGTTCATAGCACTTGATCTAGCTGGACAAGAGGCCGAGTGGCTAAGAAACCTACTAGCAGACGTGCCATTGTGGGGGTGTACTACACCATCTGTGTCCATACACTGTGATTCTCAAACTGCTATATGCGTAGCAAAGAATAGTGCTTACAATAGGAAAACAAGGCACATAAGAGTCAGACATGAGTCTGTAAGACAATTGATTACGACTGGGGTACTCACGTTGGAGTATGTGAGGTCCAAGAGGAATATTGCAAATCCTCTCACTAAAGGACTAAATAAAAAGGCCGTCCAAGATACATCGAAGGAAATGTGCTTAAAATCAACAAAGTAAGCAAAGCTTACATACTCATAAAGCAACTGAACATGAGATGTTCTAAGTTAGGGTCTACACAGAGGTAGACCTCAAGTCAAAGAGTTTGACTTCCGAAGAACCTGCATAATGAGTGCTGATATGTGCACGTGAGTTCAAAACTACCTCTCCTTGGCTAGTTCAAGGTTCAATTCACTACTAAGGAGAAAGATACTCAAGTCACTACGTGCCAGTTCAAGGTCTAAACCACTGGCATTAAGCTCAACGCTCACTTCCGCTCAGACATCTACTTCCTTCACACTTGTTTGAATGTGTGGGGGATGTTGGGAATAGCATTCAAGAACAAGGTGAAGTTTCCTTCACTACTTGTCCCACATTGGTTTCATAGGAGAGCTTTTTCCCACTTTTATTGGACAACCCATTTGGAGCTCTTGAATTATTGTGGAGGGAAAAGGAAAGGGGAACCCCACATGCGCGCGTCGCCGCCTGCTCGTTCGGCTCGGTTCGCACGCGCGTCACAGTGGGGTGGGGTCAAATTTTAACTCGGTCCTTATTTTAATTCTGAGTTTTTCGCCCTTTCAGAGTTAATTTTAACCATCCACAATAAAAATAAGTGGTTTAAATTCGTGGCCCTCTTTTCCACTCCTTGCGCTATCTTTGCGCGGAATGAGTGACTGAGAGATGAGGGGGGGGGGGGTATTTCCTCAGCTATAAATACCCTGTTCCTCCTCACTTCTATAACACACCACAATTCATTTTTCTCTTTTTCTATTCTCTCTGTGCCTTCTGTCTGAACTCTAAGTCGGATTCTACTGTGACTACGAATATTTGTGACGGTATCTCGTAGAAAGTTTGTGTGCAACCAATCGAAAGCACCCGGTTATACTGACAATTTGCTTTTAAGGTAGTGTATTCACACGACACAGGATCCCCTTCTTCTTCTTTTTTTTTTTTTCCAAATCAGCCAATATAAAAAGCAGTGCTAACTGCGACATTTTCCGGTACAGAAAAACCAACAATACTTGCTATCACTTAGGGCATCCCCAATAGCACATTTTAGAAGGCTTTTGGAACAGTAAAAAACTAAGAACAAAATTTTTAACAAATGGGAAGCCTAAATTTTGGTAACATCTTTCTCCTGCAAAACATGGGATTTTGCAGTGAAAAGTAAAAAAGAAAAACAGTCTGTTAGGGATACGCGCTCACGGACTGCTTGGGATTCGCGCTCATTGGACATTTAATTTGGCTTTTGTTGTTTTTATTTTTTAGGCCAGCTACTTTCATTTTTTTTTTTTTTTAATTTTTAGCTGGAAACGGTCAACTTGGTTTTATTTTTTTTAATTTTTTTTTTGTTATTAAATTTGTACATAGTAAAATTATATTTTTTAAAAATTTGTAAACATTTATAATTATAAATTTATTTTAATTTTGATATGTGTAATTTAAATATAATAAAAATAATAATTATAATTATAATTTTTACAATAATAATAAATAAATAATTAAATAATTAAAATATAGTAGTGATAAAATGGTGGGTCCCAAAAAGTTGTGAAAAAACTTAAAACTAATGGGAAGAAGAGATTTTGTGATTGAATGAGACAATGGATGATGAGGTGGATGTTGGGACCCACAAAAATCTGGGGTAAAATCCCCAACTATTGAGGATGCCCTTATAAACATGTAGACACGGAAAAGTTGAAGCCGACAAGTGGACCGATTAAATCATCATCGAGCCCAATTTCGGGGTTGATCATTAGTCCAATTTAATTAATTGGGCTATGATAATTAAATTAATTTAATTAGTCTAAGTAAATTTGATTTGGGCTATTGAATTAATTAATTAATTGGTCCAAGCCCATTTCATAATTGAATTATAATTATAATTATAACTTAAATATAATATGATTTTATTATATTTGAATTAGATAATTATAATTTAATTTGAATTAAATGATAGAATAATGAACCTATACTTGATTTTGGCAAGGTTCATTTTAGCAGATAATTAATTAATTTAATTTAATAAAAATTAGTGGAGTTTGTTGAGAGATTTTAGTTACAAACTTCACTATAAATAGAGCCTCAATTTCATTCTTTAAATCACACCTCAAATACATTGAAAACAACTTGAAGACTTGAGAGTTTGAAGGCATTGAAGAACGCTTGACAACTTGAAAGATTGAAGATTTGAGAGCTCTTTTGAAGGCATTTGAAGATCTTGAAGAATTAAAGGCATTGAAGGCATTTTTTGTAGGCTTAGAAGATCTTGAAGAATTAAAGGCATTGAAGGCATTTTTTGCAGGCTTTGAAGATCTTGAAAAATTAAAGGCATTGAAGACATTTTTTGCAGGCTTTGAAGATCTTGAAGCAACTTAAAGTCATTTTGTAGGTACTTTGAAGATCTTGAAGCCTTTTGAAGGCAACATGAAGCCATTGCAGGTTCTTTAATTTGATGCTTTGCAGAGTTGATTGCTCCGAAGCTTGACGTTTGCTGTTGAAGATCACGCCACTTGAACCCCGGAAGCTACGCCGTTTGAATCCCGGAGGCACGCGCCATTTGAATCCCGAAGGCTACGCTATTTGAATCCCGGAGGCACTTCAGTAGACAACGTTAGTGAAGAATCAGAGGACTACACAGAGATTTTGTACCTGCACATTGAATTATACACACGCTGTACACGAAATTTTGTGAATAGATACAAAGTTTACTTCTTTTTTTTTTTTTGTGTTTACAGATTTTGGCACGCCCAGTGGACCGCTCTGCCTCTCATCTCTTCACTATCGATCTACATCAGCAAGCAACTCTACTAGCAATCGGCATGAAGTCAAGAAGCTCAATGTTCAAGAAGTCTTATGCCCAAGCCGCTAGTTCCAAGTCTTCATCAACAGCTGATTCTAAAGCGAGCCGAGAGACCGAAGCACCATTAACCAGGAGCCGTGCAAGGAGCTTAGGAATGCGACCGCCAGAGCCTGAGTCAATTGTTCGACGCATGATTCAAAGACTCAAAACGCCCCCTACTGTCCCAATGAAGTCTATCTATGTTGCAGGTCCACCATCTTTGAAAGGAACAACCAATAGCGGGAGGCTGACTTCTTCGAAAGGAGCAGCTGGCAGCGGGACGCCGACTTCTTCAGAAGGAGCAGTTGATAGCGGGAGGTTGACTTCTTCGAAAGGAGCAGCTGGCAGCAGGATACCGACATCTCCGAAAGAAGCGGCGAATAGCGAGAAGTCAGCTACCCCAAAAGGAGCAGCTAATAGCGAGAAGTCGGCTACCCCAAAAGGAGCAGCTAGTAGTAAGAATCCAACATCTCCGAAAGAAGCAGTCGATAGCGGGAATCCAACATCTTTGAAAGGAGTTAATGATAGTAAGAGTCCAACATCTCCAAAAGGAAACGATAACACGAGAGGCTCGTCACCGGCATCGCAGACGTCCAACATGTGGAAGGCCGCGCCAGAATGGTCACGCATCTATACAGGCATACCGGCTATGACAACAAGCGCGACAACTATAGAGGACTAGCTTGCAAGCATCACTAAGGCGCTGGAAGGGATCACCACCCTCCTTCAAAACCAAGAAAGGAGAATCAACGACTTAGCTGAAAAGGTCGAGAGCACAAGGAATGGCGAAACTAGCCGGGCTCCTGGGAAACAACATGAGGTTCAAGGAGAAGATGCCTCGCACTCACCAACTTGCATTGGGGCATTGGGCGAACTACAGTGCACGAGGAATCAACTTCGCACATACCAAGTTCGGACAGGAGCATTCCAGTCATAGAGGGCATGATACCTGTAGATCGGCTTAACGAGTTCATCATGAGAGCTATCAAAGGAAAGCTCGAGGGGGGAAAATCTTCATACACTTACACCAAGCCTTACACCCAAAGGATAGAGGATTTGAAGATGCCCATTGGATATCAACCTCCAACATTTCAACAGTTCGATGGGAAAGGCAATCCAAGACAACACATCGCCCACTTTGTTGAAACATGCAACGACGCTGGGACGTATGGAGATCTTCTTGTCAAGCAATTCGTCCGCTCTTTGAAGGGTACTGCCTTCAATTGGTACACTGACTTGGAGCCTGGCTGCATTGATAGCTGGCATGACATGGAGCGCGAGTTCTTGACCTGCTTCTACAACACAAGAAGAACCGTCAGCTTCTTAGAACTCACCACCACTCGCCAAAGGAATAGTGAAAGCTTGACCGCTTACATTGAAAGATGGAGGGAGTTATGCTTGAATTACAAGGAAAAGATATCACAGAGCTTCGCGATTGAAATGTGCACCAAGGCATGCACTTCGAGCTCTCCTACATCCTCCAAGGGCTCAAGCCTAAGACTTTTGAGGAATTATCTAGTCGCGCCCACAATATGGAGTTAAGCATAACAGCTAATGGTGGGCAAAACATACACATTCAAAGCTTCTACAATAGGGGCAAGAGTCATGACGATGTTGAAAATGGCGGCAAGGCCTTTAAGAAATATGAAAGCATGGACACTATGCATGTGAATATTCAACCAGCTAGGATATTCACTGAAGCTACTGGTGAGTCTAAGGATGCTTCTAGATCATTACGGGGTAGTAGAAGGCTTTCTTTCAGGGAAAGACAAAACAAGCAGTATCCATTCTTGGATTCTGATGTCCCACATATGTTTGATGAGCTATTAAAACACGATCTCGTTGATTTGCCAGAAATGAGGCGACCACACGAGGCATCAATGATGGATGATCCGAGTTACTGCAAGTATCACAGACTTGTCAGACATCCAATTAAAAATTACTTTGTCTTTAAGGATAAAGTAATGGAGTTAGCTCGAGATAAGAGAATTGAACTTGCAGATGCCACAACAAGCGCTAATCAAGTTTCCATCTCATGCGATAAATCTACTTCGCTACTCATTGAGAGGAACAATGTAAAGGGAAATAGAAAACGACACAAGTGTTTATTCCCTCTTAACATCAAGTCTTATGATTCCAAACCCAAGTATGATACTCGGCATGGTATTAAGCATGCTAAACAACACCACGTTGATGATGCGACACGACCATCTAAGCAAGTTATGAAAATGTGGGTCAAGAAGAAAATATTAAAGGGTCCTATTGATGGGAAGACTTACAGCCACCATATGAAAGCACGAGCTACAGTCACATTGGAGGATTACGTGTCGAAGTGGTTCCATATTACTCCAATTAACCAAGGAATGAAAATGAAAATTCCTCAAATCAACCCATATGCTATAGAAGAATGTGCCTCAACACATTATACCACAGTATGTGATGGAGGAAATATTCTTCAAGTTTCCTTAATATGAATTGAAACCGCATCGTATTCAAGACTCCCCGGCACGAGTTGAAACTGCCTCATATTCCTCCAAGACTCCCCGATACGAGTCGAAACTGCCTCATATTACTTCAAGGCTCCCTGGCACGAGTCGAAACTGCCTCACATCCCACAAGGCTCCTTGGCACGAGTTGAAATGGCCTTATAGTTTCGAGACTTCCATGCACTACATACTTTCAAGCAATGTATGCTCTCAAGTGGCATGCCCAAGAAAGTCTCAAGGGGGCAATTTGTAAACACGGAAAAGTTGAAGCCGACAAGTGGACCGATTAAATCATTATTGAGCCCAATTTCGGGATTGATCATTAGTCCAATTTAATTAATTGGGCTATGATAATTAAATTAATTTAATTAGTCTAAGTAAATTTGATTTGGGCTATTGAATTAATTAATTAATTGGTCCAAGCCCATTTCATAATTGAATTATAATTATAATTATAACTTAAATATAATATGATTTTATTATATTTGAATTAGATGATTATAATTTAATTTGAATTTGAATTAGATGATAGAATAATGAACCTAGACTTGAATTTGGCAAGGTTCATTTTAGCAGATAATTAATTAATTTAATTTAATAAAAATTAGAGTTTGTTGAGAGATTTTAGTTACAAACTTCACTATAAATAGAGCCTCAATTTCATTCTTTAAATCACACCTCAAATACATTGAAAACAACTTGAAAACTTGAGAGCTTGAAGGCATTGAAGAACGCTTGACAACTTGAAGGCTTGAAGATTTGAGAGCACTTTTGAAGGCATTTGAAGATCTTGAAGAATTAAAGGCATTGAAGGCATTTTTTGCAGGCTTTGAAGATCTTGAAGAATTAAAGGCATTGAAGGCATTTTTTGCAGGCTTTGAAGATCTTGAAAAATTAAAGGCATTGAAGACATTTTTTGCAGGCTTTGAAGATCTTGAAGCAACTTAAAGCCATTTTGTAGGTACTTTGAAGATCTTGAAGCCTTTTGAAGGCAACATGAAGCCATTGCAGGTTCTTTAATTTGATGCTTTGCAGAGTTGATTGCTCCGAAGCTTGACGTTTGCTGTTGAAGATCACGCCACTTGAACCCCGGAAGCTACGTCGTTTGAATCCCGGAGGCACGCGCCATTTGAATTTCGGAGGCACTTCAGTAGACAACGTTAGTGAAGAATCAGAGGACTACACAGATATTTTGTACCTGCACATTGAATTATACACACGCTGTACACGAAATTTTGTGAATATGTACAAAGTTTACTTTTTTTTTTTTTTTTTTTTTTTTTTTTTTGTGTGTTTACAAAACACAAGTGATAGCATGTATCACATATTTCCATTCCATCTTAGGTGGAAGAATCAAATTATATCTATATCACGTATCGCTATACATGTATCATGTATGCATACAAGTGATACATGTTATGACTTATGAACACAAGTGATAGAATGTATCACATATTGCGATTCCATCTTAGGTGGAAGAATCAAATTACATCACTTACCAAGACTCACGTAAATAAAGAAAATAATATTTGTAGGTAAATACAAAAATTAATAATATAAAAATAATATTGAAGGTATATATAAATAAACCAATAGCGGTGAATCTATATACTTATAATAGTAAATTTAATTTATTTATCTATAATAGTGAATTTATAGACTTAAAGTAGTGATTGTTATGAACCAATTTTATTTACATAAATAGTGAATTTATATATACTTAAAGTAATGACCTTATATACGTAGGTGTAAATTTATTTTTAAAAGTTATAAAACTTATGAGTATGGATGATATTTTTTTGAAAATACTCATGATTCTTTATAAGGTAGTATTTGTTTATACTTTCTCAAACAATTTCAATCCAAAGAGTCAAAGCCCCCATCACGGGAATTCAAACCTATAGCCATCTATTTGAAATGCTAACCGAGATGCCATCACACTACACAGGACCGACCCTGGCATGTTTGCCCAGGGCCATTGCACGGGCCCCCAAAATTTGGGGGCCCCATCATGCATAATATGTATATATATTATACAGCAGGCTGCAGCTATGTATATATATTATACAGCAGGCAGCCTGCTGTATAGTATATATACATATGTTTTTTTTTTGGTTTTTTTTTTTGTTTTTTTTTAAACAATTTGGCCACGACTGCTTGATCCGGCATTCGAAATTTCCCAGGACCTGGCCAACTACTAGAGCTGAGTCAGTTCTAGCTCGGACATATCGTGCCCCCAGTTGCTTAACATACCGGAGACCGGCGATGAAAGCCTCGTACTCGGCTTCGTTATTTGTGGGGTAGAATGAGAAGATTAGGGCGTGGTACAGCTTGAACCCCTCCGGGCTAGTTATTACTACGCCTCCTCTTGCTCCCCTTCTGCTGCTTGAGCCATCCGTCGCCAGTTCCCACCATTGCTCGTCCGGGTCATGTTGCGGTGTCGGGTCAGTTTCCCTAGCCGTGCATTCCACCACAAAGTCAGCCAACGCTTGGCCTTTGATCGCCGGTCGCGGTTTGTATTCAACAGCAATTTGTGTCAGCATTAGCGCCCATTTTACTAACCGTCTAGAAGAGTTGGAGTTTCGGAGTACGGCGCCAATGGGCTGGTCAGTGAGTACTCGAACCGTTCGGCCCTGAAAATAGGGAGTCAATTTCTTGGCCGCCATGTACAGGGCGAAGACGACCTTTTCCAACCGAGAGTACCTGGTCTCTGCTCTGCCGAGCGCGTGACTCACGTAATAGACAGGTCTCTGGATGTTGTGTTTATCTGTTCGGCATAGGACCACACTCACCGCCTTATCAGACACACCCAGGTAGATCTTCAAATCTTCCCCCGGTTCCGGCTTCGAGAGTTCGACCGGTGACATAAGATATTCCTTCAACTGCTCAAATGCGACCTGACATTCTTGATCCCATTTAAAGGCACTAATCTTCCTTAGCGTTTTGAAAAAAGGTAGCGCACACTCGGCGAGCTTGGATAGAAATCGGCTGAGCGCGGCTAATCTCCCGGTCATGCCGTTCGACCTGTGCCTTCAATACTCTTGGGTATGTTCCAACTTCGACAGGCAGTCAGATCAAGCCTTCTGGTTCGATTGTGTCCCCCGTGAATCCAGACAATTGGGTACGCACGGGGGTCAACTATCTCACCCTCGAAGAAATTTGCCAAAAACCCGATGAGGAACGTAGGGAATTGGTT